GTACAATACCAAAATTATGTACAAAAACATCCTTATGTTCAAAAAAACAATGCTACATATAAAAGTACACCTGCAATTAAAAGCCAAACATACAATCAAACCCCCCTCTCACCCCCCGTATTTAAATGAAAAAAGTACACCACTGCATTCCTTTGGCAACAGTACATACAATACACCTTTATATGCACACATACTCCATACAAAAGCATGATTACATTTAAACACACAAACACTCTTTACAAATACAACCCTGCAAGGGAGGGGAAGTGGTAGATCCCCAGGTGGAAATTTCCATTTGGCCATCATTAGCCATGCTGCACAGAGTAACCGAAATGAGGGTGGAGCTCTGTGCACCTCCCTCCTACCTGCCACCCAAATATTGCACCTTCTGGCCTGTACACCTTAAGGTGTCTGCTTATGTTACGTTATGGTAGCACTGGCTTTTGTGTGTGAGTGTAGCAAAGTGTGTGTTTAGAGTTGTGTATATGTGTGTTTCTGTGTGTGTACAAGTATGAAGAGAAAAATGCTTTACTAGCGCAATTCAGTACATGAGGGAAAAATGTTAATGACACCACAAAAGAATGCAAGATGGGAGTCATCTATAGAAGAGAAGATCTAAAGCAACTTTCCAAACTGGTACAACCAGCAGAAATAACCCATTGGTCCCCATGAAGACTTCTCCATTTGTAGAACCTTTGTACCACCAATGCTTTTTATAACCCCCACACTCCCCACAGCTCCCTTGTATTTGTATCAGTTCAACATGGAGTCAATGACAATTTCTTGAAGGGAAAGAGACTGTGTTGTAATGAGGCAGAGCATGGGCAGTGCTGGGAAGGATTTAGGGAGAGAAGTCACATTTGTGGGATTAAATAGGCACAATTTTGTGCTTTAATTGGATGGATTCTTATTGTCGATTGTTTGTTGATTTGTGCAGTTTACTTGTTTTTCTATATTCATATTTGTAGGTTCCTTTCACTTAAATGAATACTGTCTAACTTTTCACAAAAAAAATGTATATGTAAATGTATATGGTATTATTTTATTGACATTTTTATTGAGTGGGGCCATTGTAACGCATGCGCATTAGGTCACCCCTGCCGGCTGACATCAGCGAGAGAGAAGGCGGACCCGAACCAGCGCTGAGGACCCAGGTAAGTGAAATTTGTTTTCCTGGCACTATAGTTTCCTTTTAAGATTTCCCTTCAATGGAAAAAAGGGGCCTAGCACAACCCCTGAAAAAGCGTCCCATACCATTATACCTCCTCCACCAAACTTTATAGTTTTCACAATACAGTAAGGCATTCTCCTGATATGCCAAATCCAGATTCACCCATCAGACTGCCAAACAAAGAAGCATGATTTGTCACTCTACAGAACATGGTTCCACTGCTCCAAAGTCCAGTGGCAGCATGCTTTATATCACTAGATCCTATGCTTGGTGAATTGGTGATGTGAAGCCTGCATGCAGCTGTTCGGCCATAGAAACCCATTCCATGAAGCTCCCACTCCACAGATTTTGTGCGGATATTAGAAGTTTGAAACTCTTCAGCTTTGGAATCAGCAGAGCATCGGCGACATTTACGCACCATGCACCTCAACACTCGGTGATCCCCGCTCTGTGACTTAGCGTGGTCTTCTGCTTTGTGGCTAAGGTCCTGCTGTTCCTAAACGCTTCCATTGTCCTATAATACCACTTACAGATGACCGTGGAGTATTTAGCAGGGATGAAATTTCGCAAAATTACTTATGGCAAAGGTGGCATCCTACAGTACCACGCTTGAATTTACTGAGCACTTCAGAGCAACACAATTTTTTTTTACAAATGTTTGTAAATGCAGACTGCATGGATAGGTGGTTGATTTTATACACCTGTGGCAATGGGTCTGATTGAAACACCTGAGTTTCATACTTAAAGGGACACTGGTAACCAGTGCCCCTGCAGCTTAATGTAGTGGTTCTGGTGTATATTGCCTCAGAGAAAAGACAGTGTTTACATTGCTGGCTAGTTATACCTAGCTAGTTAGTGCCTAGTTAGTGGCAGTCACTCAGGCAGTCACTAGATGTACTTCCTGTGAACCTACATTCAGTGCTTACACATTCTTCTTGGAGGAGTTGAACATTTCCCATAGAGATGCACTGATTTAATGCATTTCTATTAAAACCTGCTGATTGGCGTTTTACAGCATAGGCACAATAGCCTCCCAATACTTTACTATGGGATAGCATTGAATTGGCTAGGATCATCAGCACTGATGATCTCATCCATGGAGGCGTGGCCAAGCGGGGCCTGTCTAAGTGAAACCAGCACTGCGTGGGAAAAAAGGTGAGTAAATCACCTTAATTTCCATGCAGAGGGGGAATGGGACCCTAATGGAGATTCCTGCACTGTAGTTTCAGTAATACATGTTTGTATTCCTGACAGACACTATAGTGTTCCTCTAAATCAGGGGTCCTCAAACTTTTTAAACAGGGGGCCATTTCACGGTCCCTCAGACACTGTTGGGGGCCGGACTATAAAAAAATATTAATGAATTCCTATGCACACGGCACACACGCATAAGGACATAAATACACACATACATACTGACATACATACATAAACAGACAGACACAGACATACACATACATACATACATACACACACATGGACATACATACATACACATACATACAGACAGACATACATACAGACACATACATATACACACACACACACACACAGACATACATACACACAGAGACATACATACTGACATACATACATACAAACTGAAATACATACAGATACATACATACACACAGACATACATACAGACTGAGATACATACACATACATACAGACAGACATACATACACACAGACAGATATACATACATACTGACACACATACTGACATACATACATACATACTGACATACATACACACACACACTGACATACATACATACAGACATACTGACATACATACACACATACATACTGACATACAGTCATACTGACATACATCTCTTCCCTCCCGCGCGGAGGGAGCTGGGAGGAAGTGACCACCGGCCGTCAATTCCTCCCAGCACTACCTTGCGGCTGCGATTTTTTTTAAAGGTGCCCGGTCGCGCTTTTGTTGTGTGTTTGGGACTTAGACCTGTTTTGCATTTTTTCACCTTACTTTCCTATTTTCAAATTAAGTACACTAATGTATTTTTAAAGATCAGATTTTTTTCTGATACAATGTACATATGCATAGCAGACTATTATTACAAAATGAGAAAAAATGAGAAAAAATATTTCAATTAATTTTGGACATTATAGGAGTGTGTTTAGTAGATGGAGCCCACGATGCAGGAGTAAGCGGGATAAACTTTTACCAAGATCGCAGTATATATTAAAAAAAAAAAACAATAGAAAACAACTATAATTCACAAAAAGCTGTATAATGCTGGTAGATGCAGAATTTTGACAGTTTTATTGGAAGAATATATCTATAGTGCTTTTAGATTGTCTTGAACAAAAAACATTCATAATGGCTGTATAGATTCTCAATGCCTAAAAGCTAATTCACTGTTGCTTGTATTGTATAAAGCTAATAACTACAATAACACCATATGTTTTTCTTCTATTAAATAAAGTATTCATTTCGCTGGGCAGCTCATAACCATCCAGCTGATTTGAAGGAGCTCCCCTGCACAATTTTTCAGTTTAACTGCTGGCAAATGCTAGTTGAAATAAATAGCTGAATGCAGAGAGACAAAATAATAAAAATCAATGTTTACAGAATAAAAATAGTTACAGAATTGTGAATACCTAGTCCAGAAATAACATGGTGTTAAGAGTTTTCTTACATTCTTATTTGCATTATTATAGTGTCTTCATATAGCAACATTGCATTTTTCACTGGTAAATATATTGGGTAACGGGTCATGTTTCCATATGGAAATCAGAGACGAGCTGGAACTTTAAGAAGGAAGACTTCTTAGAGTCTATAGTCAAACATGGCTCCTTCCAAGGATACCGGTACAAACCCACTCAGGATACTAGTACAAACCCACTCAGGATACTAGTACAAACCTGCAAACCTGCTCAGTTACTTCCACAATGAGACACAAGTGAAGCTTTCCATGGGTGCCCACTACCTGCATGTTTTGCTAACCTACTTGTCATATGTACTACGTGACATCAGTTCATCCCACCTAAGGGCACTCCATTTTTTTAATGCCAATGTCAAGGACATAAAATGCAAGGTATCTACTGAGAACATCTGAGCCCATTGCTTGTTGGGCAGAAATAGACATAAAATTGGATAAAGGCCAAAAGTGGAATGCTGACCCAAAGGATGAGGAAGATAAAGGGGATTCTGACATAATGGAGTACAGAAGAAAAAAAGGGAGAGTCGAAGCGAGGGGCAGGGCTATGGAGGGGTAAGTGACAGAGGATGTCAGGATGCTAACAATTTACTGTAGTGGTATTAATGCCTAGATGTTGTCCCTGCACATACTTTGTGAGAAATAATAATATTTACATTTGTCAGTCAGCGTGCTTGTAGTCACTGTTAAATCAGGCAGCTACTAGAGGCACTTTCTAGTGTTGAGTCATTCAGATAAGATTGGCCATTTAAATGTGTTGTGATAAATTACTTGAAAGGGATCCCACTCCTGAGACAATAGGTCTCCCGAATGGGTTATTAAGATTTTTTGTGTATAAATAAATAAATATATTTTTTCCATACATTTTTAATAATATTTATTTCGGAATATATTTTTATATTTATATAGTTTTTTATTTGTTACGTTTTTATTTATTTTTTTATATATATATTTGTATTTATCATGTATTTACATATTTTTGTATTATATATTTTTTTATGTCTCAGTTCCCACTCCTAAGACTTTTACTTATATTTATTTACATTATTAGATATTAATTTCATGTTTCATGTATTAGTAGGGACTTTTTTATTTTGGACTCTACCTATAGTCCATTACAAAGATGATGTCCCTAATGCACTTAAGATGGCCACCAGAAGGAAATGGCTTTACCGTGTGGAATGATGTTAGATTACCGTGACCCTGGAATGGAGAATCATATGGGCCATAACAATAATGCGGACATGATAAAACATACCTGCACGCACTTTATTGTACAATCTGAACACCATTTCAATGGAGGATGGTGTATCAGTGGATCGAAGCAGAATTTACATTATGTGGTCATGGTCAATGGATTGGTGAACCACCCAGGCCGGAGCTGACCTTCTGCAGTCACGCCCATGTGATTGCGGGGCCACGTGACCCGTAACTCTACTTTTCTGTTTATTAATGTGGATTAATTAAGACCCTATATATAGTTCGATGTTGACAGGAGTGCATCAGAAACACCTGAAGAAGACAATCAGTAAGTTAGCCAGTGGTGAGATTTTTATGCATAGTTCTCTATAGCTAACATTTATATCTGGCACAGCTATTCTAGTTTTCTATTCTCGTTTTTATTACTTGTTATCTGTAATATATGTAATACATATATTTTTGGTTCCTGGTTCCTGCAATATCCCTCCAGAATCATCTATGTCCGTGAAGAGGGCACCCTCATACTGCTTACATTCTTTTGTAAGAAGTGCTTTAGAACATTATTGTTTTCTTAAGGTGATGCCGAATGCAGATACAGGGACACTGTAAGCACCAAAACAACTCTAGCTTAATTAAGTGGTTGTTGGTGTATAGTGGTGCAGTGTAGCATTTGCCATTCATGCACAATATATGCACTGAGCTTGAGATTATTTGTCCAGATGATCTCAGAAAAAATGCAAAGGAAAGGCTTTAACAAGACCAAAAGAACAATGAATGGGGGTGAGTATGACTATTATTGTAATTAGTAAAGTGGGGACATTAATCCAAAGTCACAAGATATTCTCTAACATTATACATATCTATATGCATTGATAACATTAGAGTTTTCTTTTAAGGAAGAATTTTAGAAAGCTGAGATGATTGAGTGGTGACAGAGAAAGAGGCAAACATGAAAGTGGTAGATAAAAGCTGCTAGGAAGGGTTAGAGAAGATTACTGGAAATAAAGGCAAATAAAGACACTAAAGAGAGAATGGGAACAATGTTAGTTGGGAGAGCTTAGGCAAGGTTGAGGAAAAAGATTACAATGCATTTCAAAGATGGTCAAGTAAAAAGGAATCATTAATAAAGGTACTATTAAAATATAAATTTCTTGCAAATGCCATTTAAAATATGCTGTTCCACATAATATTCAGTTCAGTTTACGGCTAACTTGCATTCTGAATAACCCACGCTAAGGTAACAAAATAGTGATTTGTAATGTTAGTAAGTAAGCACAAGAGGGCACAGTTCAACCTGCATTCATCTCTTAATTATGCAGCACAGTCCATCCTGTGTTTTATAAGAATAATGCATAAAGTATGCATGTTCAGGTGAATGCAAGCCTTTTTTTATATGCGTGCATACCTACATATAAACTGAACAAAATTATAAACACAACACATTTTTCATGAGCTGAACTCAAAGATCTAAGACTTTTTCTATGTACACAAAAGGCCTATTTCTCTCAAATATTGTTCACAAATCTGTCTAAATCTGTGTTAGTGAGCACTTCTACTTTGCCGAGATAATCCATCCACCTCACAGGTGTGGCATATCAAGATGCTGATTAGACAGCATGATTATAGCAAAGGTGTGCCTTAGGCTGGCCACAATAAAAGGCCACTCGAAAATGTGCAGTTTTATCACAGAGCACAATGCCAAAGATGTCGCAAGTTTTGAGGGAGTGTGCAATTGGCATGCTGACTGCAGGAATGTCCACCAGAGCTGTTGCCCATGAATTGAATGTTCATTTCTATACCATAAGCCATTATCCAAAGTCATTTCAGAATTTGGCAGAACATCCAACCAGCCTCACAACCACAGACCTAGTGTAACCACACCAGCCCAGGACCTCCACATCCAGCATCTTCACCTCCAAGATCGTCTGAGACCAGCCAGCCAGACAGCTGCTGCAACAATCGGTTTGCATAACCAAAGAATTTCTGCACAAACTCTCAGAAACCATCTCAGGGAAGCTCATTTGCATGCTCGCTGTCCTCAACGGAGTCTCGACCTGACTGCAGTTCGTCATCGTACCCGACTTTAGTGGACAAATGCTCACGTTTGATGGTGTCTGGCACTTTGGAGAGGTGTTCTCTTCATGGATGAATCCTGATTTTCACTGTACAGGGCAGCTGGCAGACAGCGTGTATGGCGTCGTTTGGGTGAGCAGTTTGCTGATGTCAACATTGTGGATCGAGTGGCCCATGGTGGCGGTGGGGTTATGGTATGGGCAGGCATATGTTATGGACAACGTACACAGGTGCATTTTATTGATGGGATTTTGAATGCACAGAGATACCGTGGCGAGATCCTGAGGCCCATTGTTGTGCCATTCATCCACGACCATCACCTCATGTTGCAGTATGATAATGCACGGCCCCATGTTGTAAGGATCTGTACACAATTCCTGGAAGCTGAAAACATCCCAGTTCTTGCATGGCCAGCATACTCACCGGACATGTCACCCATTGGCCATGTCTGGGATGCTCTGGATCGGCGTTTATGACAGTATGTTCTAGGTCCTGCCAATATCCAGCAACTTTGCACAGCCATTGAAGAGGAGTGGACCAACATTCCACAGGCCACAATCAAGAACCTGATCAAATGGTGGTCACACCAGATACTGACTGTTTTTTGGGCCTCCCCCCAATACAGTAAAACTGCACATTTTAGAGTGGCCTTTTATTGTGGCCAGCCTAAGGCACACCTGTGCAATAATCATGCTGTCTAATCAGCATCTTGATATGCCACATGGATTATCTCGGCTAAGGATAAGTGCTTACTGACACAGATTTAGACAGATTTGTGAACAATATTTGAGAGAAATAGGCCTTTTGTGTACATAGAAATAGTCTTGGATCTTTGAGTTCAGCTCATGAAAAATGGGGGCAAAAACAAACGTGTTGCGTTTATAATTTTGTTCAGTGTACATATATATAAACAAATACATACGTAGCAAAATTCAAATAGGAAAAATTATGATTGAAAACCCCTTCCACCTGAAGTCTGTGGATAGTTAATACAATGTTCAACAAAAATCTGCACACCAGTCAAGCCATAAGACTTGCTTTTCCCACAAAAATCACAAATCTGCATTGATGTTACTACCGAAAAGGATTCTGGGTGGGTTTATGCAAATTAGTTTAACAAAGAATCACATTTTTGCCTCATTCCATTTTAAACATGGATTTATTTTCCATCACAATTTTTCCCCATCGTAACCTGTTTGGATTTTGCTTCCCAAGCACTACCAAGCATCAATAAGCAAACCAGTGCTGATTATTTGCATTAACAATGAAACAGCTGTCCATGAGTGGTTTATATATATATATATATATATATATATATATATAATTTTTTCTTTTTTTTCTTTCCAAACTTTATTTAAAGCAATTTGAAATTGAAAAATAGTTTTGAGGGTACAGTTGTCCTTTACCTTATTTCTGACGCTCAGGAAAGGACAAAAGAGGCAGGACTGCAAGATTAGAGAGGATGGACGTGATGGGGCAGGTGAGAATTGCGGGGAAAATGGGACTTAACAAAAGGAAGTGGAGCTTGTCTTAAGCTCCACCCTATGTCACCCTATTTGTCACGCCTCGGAAAAATACATAAGACAAAAAGATCAGAAATTAAGAAAAATAAAAAAACAACAAATTTGGAGAGCAGAAGAGAAGGAAGTATAGAAAGGTAAGTTTGGGGTGACAAAGCCACTTTAATCATCCCAACACACACAAACATTAAGAAAATTTAGTGGAGCAGCTCTCTTTAGTTTTATCTTCTAGATAAATAGTGCTAGTCAGAAAATACTATCTATAGTGTCCCCCTGGACAGAATAGGGAAGGGGGAGCATGACTGCTGCCCAGGATAGTGGGATGGTACAATGGTAGCAACAATGTTGCAAAGATGGAAGGATTTATAAAGGGGTAGCAGGGGAGGAGACTTACCAGTCAGAAGGAGATTGTCATTACCCTGGTTGAATTTCTTTCAATGTCTGTATATCTTCTGACATTTCTTTTCTGTGATTACCTGGGCCTGCAAAAAATAAACGGCAATCTCCTGTTAATTCTCTGATAGAGGACTAGGCTTCAATATGGCCACCCCATCTCTGGAAGAATTGGTGAAACTGTTGGCTGCTTACCAGGAGTCCCATGGATCTTTGGACCAGGTGCTGTCTCAAGTTCAGCAGGCTGCAGGAGGACGACCAGATCGGCGTGAGGGTGATGATTCATCGCTCAGCGGGCGGAGGGCCAGGAGGTCAAGGCCTCCGTCGCGTTTATCCCCGAGTCCAGTGAGGAGGAGCGGAGGTCGGAGTGTTCCACGCTGTGAGGGAGGCAGCGGTGAGGCCGGGCGCTTCCCAGCGCGAAGATTGGCCAGTCGGAGGCGGAGAAGGGCCGGACAGGTGGTTGTGGAGTCCGGGCCCCAAGATGGCGGCGATCAGGATGGCGGGAACCCGGCCGGAAGGTCGCGCAGCCCGCGCGCTTCTCTTCATGACGCCGCGGCGCGCATGCGCGCGGCCGACCCGGGCTGGAGCCGGAAGTTCCTCTGCGGTGCAGGAGCACCGTGGCACATTGCAGAAAGGACCGCAAACGTGCGCATCCGGCGCCTGCGGGTCCCAGCAGCGGGAAGCGGATGGCAGCAGCTCTCATTCCGGATCTGAGGATGGAGATGAAGATGCAGTGTTCCCCAGTGGGTCCGGTCTGCCTCTTGCAGCATCAGCACGTGAGTACTGCGCTAGCGCTTGGGATGCGCTGGCTGGGGATGATAGGGGGCAGAGTCCACAGGTGGTAGGGGAATTAGGTAAAAAGAGGGATTTAAGCAGAGTTGATTTACTTAGGCAAGGTGGAGGGGGGTTGGGTAGCACTGGGGATTTAGTTAGTTTATTGAGGTCTGTTTTGGAGCGGTTACCTAGCGATGTCCCCCCTTCTACGCGGATGGATATGCGGTCTGCGGCGCAGATTCCTGTCAGGGACAGGGTTACGGGCATTTTGCGTCCGCGGTTGCCGGGCTGTGAGTTGTCCCCATTGGGCTTGCATGTCGCAGCAGACGTAAGAGACAAAATAGTCCGAGGTGAGTACGTCGACTTCCTGGCGCTGGTTCCGCCGGACAGGGAGTCGGTGGATAGACCGCGGCGAGGGGAGATGGGTGACGGGGAAAAAGGTAAGCAGCTTCCTCGCACTTTTGGAAATTGGTTGCAGGGTTTTTCAATTTTTGCAAGCATCTTAACGGGTACTTTCCCGGATAAGGCTCCCTCCTTGTTCTGTTATTTGGATCTCATTTGGGGGGCGTACAAGGTTTATGGTGGGCAATGCTGGTTCCGATACGACCAGCAGTTTCGGCAGAAGATGGCGGTTGGCGAGGGCATGGATTTTGGTGTACAGGATGGCAGCTTATGGCTGCTGTTGATGACGCCTTGCCGGCCCTCCCCCTTTCCAGGGACAGCCGGCGCGCTGGCTAGTGCGCCGGCAGGGCAGCGCAGGGGAGTCTGTTGGCTCTTTAATGAGTCCCACTGTAAGTGGTACAACTCATGCAGGTTCCGGCATGAGTGTTCGCACTGTGGCGGAGCACATCCCGCCGTACGCTGTTTCAAGAAAGGAAAGGCGGGTGTGCGCCCCAAGGACGACGTTCCTAGACAGGAGGACGCCGGTGAGCGTCGAAAGGATGCGCCCGTGGCTAGACCGGTATCCTAAACGGCGTGAAGCCGGTGTTTTATTGGACGGGTTTTTATTTGGGTTTTGGATTCCGTTTGTTTTTTCTGAGGCGCAGTCGTTTGCGGTCAATTTACGTTCGGTTTTGGGTAGGGAGGATATTCTTGAAACAAAATTGTGCAAGGAAGTGTCCTTGGGCCGCATGGCGGGACCGTTTTCTGAGCCCCCATTTCCTAACCTGCGAGTGTCCCCCCTGGGCTTGGTCCCTAAGAAAGAGCCTGGGGTCTTCCGTCTCATTCACCACCTGTCCTACCCAGCAGGCGGGTCGGTGAATGATGATATTGATAAAGAAGTGTCCAGGGTGCATTATGCTTCCTTTGACAGGGCCCTGGAGTTAGTGAGAGGCGCAGGGTCGGGGGCATTGCTTGCTAAATCGGACATCGAATCGGCTTTTCGTTTGCTTCCGGTTCACCCGGACTGTTTCCATCTTCTGGGTTGTCAATTTAATGGTTTGTTTTATTATGATATGTGTTTGCCCATGGGGTGTGCCATATCATGCTCCTATTTCGAGATGTTTGCGACATTCTTGGAATGGGTCGTGTCTCAGGTGTCGGGTTTGTCCTCGTTGACCCACTACCTGGATGATTTTTTGTTTGTCGGGTCTGGTGATTGCAACGATTGTGCGGTTTTGTTGTCGGCATTTCGGCAGATTACCTCAGACTTTGGAGTCCCGGTGGCGCTAGACAAGACGTTCGGACCGGTGGGTAAGTTGTCTTACTTGGGGATCGAGATTGACTCTTGTGAGATGGTCTTTCGATTACCAGAGGAAAAGCTGGGTCAGTTACTATGCCTTATTGACCGAGTCAGGGGCTCCAACAAGGTTCAGCTGCGGTTAATGCAATCGCTTTTGGGTCATCTGAACTTTGCTTGCCGTGTTTTGTCTATGGGCCGAGCGTTCTGTCGTCGCTTGTCCCTGGCTACGGTGGGGGTTAAACAGCCATTTCACTTTATCCGGATTACAAGGCGACTGCGGTCGGACTTACAAGTGTGGAGCGCCTTTTTAGGTACGTACAATGGTCATTCTTGTTGGATGCGCTCGCAGGTGTCGAACGGTGAATTGGACCTGTTTACTGACGCATCGGGGTCCATAGGGTTTGGAGCCTATTTTCGGGGACAGTGGTGTGCGGCGGAGTGGCCGTCCACCTGGCGAGGTTCGGAGCTGATGGGTAACCTGGCGGTTCTTGAATTGTTTCCCATTGTGGTTGCTGTAGAATTATGGGGTTCGGGCTTGGCGCACAGGAAGGTGATTGTTCACACGGACAACATGAGTGTGGTCCAGGTGATCAATCGTTCCATGTCTGGGTCCCCTCCGGTTTTGGCATTGCTCAGGCGGCTAGTGCTACTCTGTCTTCAATGTAATTTGTGGTTGGTAGCCAGGCATGTTCCTGGGGTGGACAATGTCATTGCTGACTCTCTTTCTCGGTTTCAGTGGGACCGTTTTCGGGAGGCGGCGCCAACGGGAACCCCGTGTCCGCCTTACTTGTGGGACCTGGTTTTGGACATCTGAGGCGATTGATCCGAGGGTCCTTATCGGAGTCATCGTGGAAGGCATACTCCACGGTATGGGATCGCTGGTGGGCCATGGGTAGGAACGGGGATGTGGCGTCGGACTCCGGCAGATTGACCCTTACGCTGTCGTTCCTGGAGTCTTTGTGTGCCGGAGGTAGGTCGTCTGCAGCAGCTGAGCAATCGCTGGCTGCTCTCTCTTTTTTATTTCGTTTTTTAGGATGGTCGGATGTCACCAAGGCGTTCTGCATTTCCCGTATTTTGAAAGGGTGGAAAAAGCGCCGCGTTCCTGATGCACGGCGACCGATCTCGGGGGACATGCTGTTCCAGCTGTTAGAAGTTCTTCCAGATGTGTGTAGCTCTGCGTATGAGGTACTTTTGTTTCGGGTGGCATTCTCCTTGTGCTTCTTTGGGGCGCTGCGTATCGGTGAGCTGGTTGCCCCCAGGGTGAGTTCAGTGTCCCCCCTTAGGCTTTCCGACGTATCAGTGACACCAGAGTGCGTTACGCTGTTGATTCGTCGGTCCAAGACGGATCGAGCGGGTACGGGAGCGAGAGTCCGTATAGGGCTCACTGGGGGTGTATTTTGTCCGGGGTTCTTGTTGCGGGCATACTTGGGTGCCAGGGGCGGCGCTGAAGGCTCGCTGCTGGTCCATTCTAATGGGGCCTCCCTGAGCCGTTTTCAATTTGCGAGCCTCTTGCGGAGTTGTATTGTTAGATTGGGGGGGGACCCCAGGTTATACTCCACGCATTCATTTAGAATTGGAGCGGCAACACAGGCAAGCGAACTGGGTTTTCCGAAGGAGGCGCTTATGCGCCTGTGGCGCTGGGAGTCGGGGCGATTTCAGCTTTACGTGCGCCCTCATTTGCTGTGATGGTATGCCTCTGTAAACAATTAAGTCTAACCGTTATTCCTTGTTTTGTAGGCCAAGTTCCTCGTTATGTCTGGATTCTGGGGCATTCTTATATTTACTGGGCAGCTAGGAGGGCGGAAGCAAGATCTCATGGCCGGAATTTGGGGTTCCCGTTTCAGGACGTTAGGGTACGTTGGCGGGGATTGAGGGGGTTACGTTGGGATCAAGTGTACGGCGAGTGCGAGCAGCTGAGTCGCTGCGTCACGGGCTCCGTGATGCTGATATTACACGCAGGCGGGAATGATGTTGGCCGACGGCGGTCGGTGGATCTCATTCGAGACATGCGTCATGATCTAGCGCACTGTTTTGCGCTTTTTCGTGGCTTGACGTTGATTTGGTCAGAGATAGTGCCCCGTCCAGTGTGGCAAGTGGGTGGTTATGGGAAGGCGTTTGAACGTTGTTGGCGCAAGATTAATGTTGCTATTTCGCGCTTTGTGCGTAGTTTGGGCGGAATAGTGGTAAGGCACTTTGAGTTGGAGGGTAATAATTCAGATGTGATGCGTCCGGATGGGGTTCATTTGAATCCCATTGGGCTGGACATTTTTAATGTGGGGCTGCAGTCGGGCATTGAGATGGCGCTGTCTGCGGGGGGGCGCGAAGCCGGCGCAGGTCAGGCTGCGGCAGGTCGGCTTCGCGGTGGCGGTTTTCCCTGGACAGCGGAATCGAAAAGGAAAGGACTATGACGCAAGGTCACATTGGGGAGACGACAGTCGGCGCAAGGCTGATGGCTAGCGACGGCTGTGCTGGGCTCATGGACAACAAAGGAGGTGAACTGCCTGTTGGGTCCTCACCCAACAGCTGGCAGGAATTAACAATTAATTTTACTGTTTAATAAAGCTGTGGCCGTTGCCCTTATCCACTAAAAGGTGTCCAGTGTATTATTTGGGGGCAACGGTGGGGATGGAATATGGGTCAGCAGTCAAGTGTCCCCCTGGACAGAATAGGGAAGGGGGAGCATGACTGCTGCCCAGGATAGTGGGATGGTACAATGGTAGCAACAATGTTGCAAAGATGGAAGGATTTATAAAGGGGTAGCAGGGGAGGAGACTTACCAGTCAGAAGGAGATTGTCATTACCCTGGTTGAATTTCCCACCCTCCCTCCCTGGTTTTGTTTGTTTGTGGTGTTGGTGGTTTTCGTGTTGTTTTTCTTATTGTCACAGCTGGCGGTTTTCCCTGGACAGCGGAATCGAAAAGGAAAGGACTATGACGCAAGGTCACATTGGGGAGACGACAGTCGGCGCAAGGCTGATGGCTAGCGACGGCTGTGCTGGGCTCATGGACAACAAAGGAGGTGAACTGCCTGTTGGGTCCTCACCCAACAGCTGGCAGGAATTAACAATTAATTTTACTGTTTAATAAAGCTGTGGCCGTTGCCCTTATCCACTAAAAGGTGTCCAGTGTATTATTTGGGGGCAACGGTGGGGATGGAATATGGGTCAGCAGTCATGTATGGTAAATATAGCAAAAACATCACATGGAGTATGTCTTCTTGTGATCTTAGAAAAACAAGGTTAACATTAACATTTATATTTA